TTAGTACTGAGTTAATCAAGATATGTTGTAATGTTGAAAAGAAATGCAAGATCACATAGCCAGGGTTTGCTTTCTAGCTTCTGAAGATGTGTTCCTTTCATATCCATGAAATGAGATAACCTGATCTTTCAAATAACAAAAACACTTCAACATCTTTCCCTGACTTAGCCAATGTACTTTGCAGTAAAAATCTAACACCTTCATGCTCAAAAGGAACTTCGGCCAGAAATTCTTGAAACTGACAGTAATTTAGTGCCCTTGACTTATAAAAAATTTATATAGGGAGTTATCATGCCCATCATATGTGCAAATTTGATTGATTTTACCCACCAGTTTTGCTGGTATGGAATGTAGTGAAGTAAAAACAAATCTTTGATATTGACTTTGTTATCAGATAACTCTGATTTTATTTGGGCAGCAGCTCCTACGTTTGATCCAATCATAGAAGGAGCTCCAGTGGTAGATATTCTGCTTAGCTTTTCCCACTTTAGGTCGAATCTAGTAAAAGCATTTTTTTTTTTCCCTGGGAAATGTCTTTGTTCCAATTTCATTACTTTTCTCAGGACAGTACTTTTACGAGAGCAGTAAGGCATTCCTTGACAAATTCACCTTTGGAATATAGTTCCAAGTATTTTGCAATTTTTTTGCTAATAATAAAGCTTATGCAAACAATGTTGTTGAAACAGTATTGCTTTTGTAGATATACTCTTTTAAAATCTTCTATTTTATTTATTCTTAGTTGACCTTTGTAACTGTTATAATCAGCTTGTTTTGTTTTGTAATAACATTTTAAGTTCCTTCAAAATAGAAATAATTTCCAAACATATCAAACAAAGAGGCTTTTTTCTTCTGCATTACAAATAAATCATAATCAATCCGTTTCTCTCCAAATTTATCACTTTTAGTATCAACTTTTCTCTTCTTTGATAAAGCTATTTTAGTCGGTATTTGACTGCAAATGCACAAATATATCAAAGAGAAATTCTTGGCGATATAGTATGGAAAATGGCAACTACATACAGCAGCAGTGAACATAACTAAACTGATGGTAGCAGAAGAGTCAGATGAACAACAAAGCCAGACCACCAACAACTGGCAAATAACAGCAGTTAAGGTGCGGTGTCTACGGAAAAATATGAGGTGAAAATAAAAATTTTGACAATATTATTCATTGCAACTACAAGTGTTTGCTTTTCGAACGTAAACTGTTAATGGGCCCGCTTCAATGATATTTAAAAAGGTTATTGTGGGCCATCTGTTGCACAGGCATAGTATGATTAAAGGGCGTGTGAAGTGTCTGGTGTGCAAATGCAGGAAAATAACACTTCTCTGACTCCAATGGAACTAATATTTTATTCCATATGATGTTATAGATTCTTATTCAATAAGATTTATTTACATTTTACATGCACGTAGCATCGCGTGACAAAAACTTGAAGTTTGTTTACTTCGTTCTTCGCGGAGACTAGAAGGTGTTGCCATTCCGCTTTAACTAAATTTAATTAGAAACGTAACGGAGCTGAAGCGACACTACAGCGTGCAATATAGAATATAGAAAATATTCACATTTTGTTAACCTCTACATTCCACTTTCAGTTAATAAGGGGTGGACTAACTCTCTTAAAAAAGTTAAGTTTGTTTATTGTAGAACAGTTGAAAAATGAGCATCACAAACCATCAGCTTAAAAACAAAAGTGCATACAGAAGAGGGGAGAATGTTTGTAACAATCGCAATGATAGCAGATAGTGTCATTATACATTCACGTCCAAAATTATCTTTATATGCATGAAATCGTGGATTTGTTCAAAACTGTAAATTATATTATTATGAACTTGTGTGTAATATAAAATTGTAGCATGAAACAATAAAAATGTGTTACGAGGAAAGTAAGGAAAAAAAGAATAAAAAATTAAGGCATATAAATTCAACATGAAATGTGATATCCCCTGATTTGTATGCATATATCGCATGTTTTCGTTCTGGCAGTAAAGTTGTTAACAACTGTTTCGGGAATTAAGTTCCACTTCTCCAGCAATGCAGTCTTCAAATCATTTTCATCTGTATAAGGAGGATGTCTTCCTGCAACTGCTTTTCCAAGATAACTCCATTATCAAAATCACAATAACAACCTTGTATTTGGCATACATATATTTACAACACTCAATCAATTACGAAGGCAGCTAAAAGTCTCTCCTCGTCAGAATGAAATTACAAGAAAGGGGAAAAAAAGAAGAAAATAAAGCATTGGCAAAAGAGTCTCAGAAACACGTGGTGGTAGCCGGTCGTAACTCCATTATGTTTTCTGGATGTGGATGAGCATTATCACCCACAAATAAAAAGTTATATCCATATGCACCTCTGAAAAGTCTTGCATAAGTTTCTAAGACTTCATCCCAATGTCTCAGACCAGCCACAGATCCATCTTTTGTTTAACCCTTTTGCCGTTTTCCCGCAACGTGCAATGTTGTTTTCTCTGTACATACATAACTTTCGTAGTGGATGAATGTAAATGAATATTAAGTAAAATTATAAGGAAATGAAGCATAATGGAAAAGTAATAATATCTCTGCTTATTTCTAACAGCAGGATTAATTTGATGACATCTGATCCAGGTGGTCCACTCCTTCCATTTTGTTATAATCTTTTACAATTATTGGTTTTTTTTTACAGTTCTTTTTCCGTGTTTCAACATCAATCATAGAGTTATTATGGAGTGTACTCATCAAACGTATATCCTTCTTGCCTTTCCAATTCACAACCTCATTTTTTCTCTTTTTTTGCTGAGTAAACGTTGAAGATCTCTCACTGTCTTGTATCTTATGTAAAATGGCGCGAATATTCATAAAACCCAGGGGGAATTCAATTAGAAATAGAATGCCTGATTAGTACTGCCCTTTAGGAGGTATTAGAACAAACAAAAAATAAAAACTCAAACAAGTGAACATTTTAAACATTAAAAAGTTTTAAAATGTAGAAGAACGCTGGAAGTGTGTTAGGCCGCCCCTGCAGAAAATTCACTTGAACACGCTAGACGTGTTACGGACAACGAAGAGGTTAAGAGAACATCTAGAGGCATATGTCCATCAATCATTATTCCTTCCCATACCATAACATCTGTGTTGCTGAAACTACAGCATTCCATAAGGTTTTAGGAATATTTCATAATCCTTATTCCCTCCAGATGTAAACATGTTTTAGAATAAGATGTTAAACTGAAAATTCACTCATCAGTAAAGAGAACACCAGTTCTGGTGTTCTTTCAAGTGATACCTCTTTTGTTGAGAAGACAGTAAAACACATACCCTTGGCTTTCTAGTATAAAGGCCTTTTTCATTAAGCCTTCTAAGTACAGTTTGGCATGACACACTCATGTCTGAAATTATCCTTATGTGCATGAAATCACAGATTTGTCAGATACTGTGAACTATAATTTTATGAATTTGCGTGTAATGATGCATGACATAACACATAAATCAATTGGCGGCTCCAAGCTCTGAACTTAACTGCCAAGCAATGGACTTTCTGTTACAATGAGCAGTTATTGCCAGATATCAATCTTAAAAAACAGTTACTATTAGTTTACAACCATGTCCAGGCCTCCTTACAACAGTTTCAGAGCTCTGGAAATGTTCCCTTAGCATGGAGACTCTCTTGAGATATTCGCCCAATTCACTGTTTCTATGATTATCTGCTCTTCTTCTAAATGGCCGATGATTCACCACTTCACAAATTCTTTCAAATGATACTTCGGAGCCATAACAAACTGTTTTGAGTCCTTACACATTGAAATCAAATACTATACTGCAGAAATTCACTCAGATATTTTATTTTGAACAAAGCACTTTATATGCTGTCAGATGACCTAAAGCTTTGGTTTGTATAGGGTGGCCCAGAAGTCACTTTACATTTTGAAAATTAAATAACTTTTTTTCTATTAATATATTTCTTTTTCTCTTTTAAGAATTAAAAAATATAATCCCTGGAAATTTTTGGCATGGATAAGTTTACAACAGAACAACGAGTGAAGATAATTGAATTTTACTTTGAAAATGGGCGGTCAATTGTTGCAACGCAAAGATATGCGCCATTTTAATGTTCGACATCCCCCTAGTAGGCCTGCAATAAGGAACTTAGTGACGCGTTTTCAAGGTTCAATTAGTGCAATCTTTAAAACCAGCAGACTTTCAGAAACGCGTAAATTATGCTGTCAGGTTTCAGAGAACTGCAAGAAATGACAATGAGTTTATTCACAAGTTGATCATGGGAGATGAAGCTCATTTCCATTTGAATGGACATGTGAATAAGCAAAAAATAAAAAAGAATTAATTAAATACAGTCATTTAAGAAAAAGTTATTTAATTTTCAAAATGTAAAGTGACTTCTGGGCCACCCTATATATCAGAAACTGTTTGATTACTTCTGATTAGGTAAAGTGAATTAGACTTGTCTTTCACACTTTCTCTGCAAATATAGATTACATTGATTGGGTAGTTCATGGAATAACACTTTTTTTTTTTTTTTTTTTAATGTATGTAAAGATAAATTTGGATATGAGTGTATTTATTAGTGGTTTATATTCACAGCAGCACATAATTTGTTCCTAATACAGAATGTATTAGCATTATAAACTGTTCTTTTAAAATAAGTCAAGTATGCAGCCATTAATCTTCTGTTTCACATGGACACCTATCAAAATACAATAGTAATAGGATAAAAAAAATTGCTCTTTTTGTTTTAAATGCTGATTTAATTTTCTTAACCAAATGAACTTATTCTCCAGATTCTGCTTGAAAATATAAATAAATTTTTATTAGAACTTCTCTGTTAATTATAATACAGGTTATTCATTTTTCCAGTGTTTTTTTTTTTTTTTTTTAATTATATTTAGATTAACTGTGATTTTAGGTTATGCATTAACGTTTTTCTTGCATAACCCTAGTTAATCGGAAGTTGATTGTATTTTTTATTTCATTTTTCAAATACGTAATTCTATTTACAGGAGATTTGCCAAGAGCAGATGTGTCTTTGTAAGTAATTTTTACTTTAATTACTTGCTTTTAATTTTTACTTAATGTAGTCATGAAATAAATGTCATGATGTTGACCAGTTCTTTTCATAATCTCTGTTTTTGCTAGAAATTACCTTTATTTAAATAAACTGGAAAATTTTGTTGTTTGAAACTTTATCATAGTTTTATAATTCAACAGCCAAGATCAAAATATATTGAACTCACAAATTAAGTTAAATTTTTTTATGATTAAATGATTTTTAAAATTAAGCTTTATTTGACATCAAGTAGGAAGCTTATTGAATTTTAAGAGGATGATATTTAGGTCTTTCTTCAACAGAATTACTTTAACTCATAATTTTCTTTTCCATAAATGTATGTAACAGATATTTCACTTCATTTTTTGAAGAACGAAAATCAACACAGATTTGTGTCACTGAAGTTTCAATCAGTGATGGATGAGGAGGACTAATATCATTAATTATAACAGATATTTTAATATTTGATGAAGGCTTCAAGATAGTAATTCAAAGGTTAGAAAATGTATCAGTAAGTTAAATTATTATAATTTAAAAGTTAAGATTTTTTATGCATGTAGGTAATAGTTTATATTGAAGATACAGTCAAAAGTCGTTAATTCGGACTCGTCGGGACTTCAGCGATTCCGGATTATCGATTTCTCCGGATTATAGATCATCATTTTAAATCTGGTAAGATGGCATGCAGAAATTACAAAATTAAAAATATGAAAACGTAATTTATGAAATAAAGAACAATTATGATCTAAAGGGTATCAAAATTTACAAAAAGAAAAAGCTTAATATTTATTTGTTTACTTTATTAAACATTTCTTTCAATGTAAGTTGTTTCGTTTCATGTGATAATACTTTCTCTTTAATTCTATTAAACAGACATAATTTCTTGTTTAGTTACAAATTTCCGCTGTTCAAGTCCTATAATTGCTGTGTCGAGAATACCGACTAATTTCTCAATCGAGATTTTTTCGTTTTCAATAACCTCTGTTACTTTCTTCACTATCGGAAGCGAATTATAATGACGAGGAACTTGTTTTAAATCATATCAAGGACGGAGTACATCGAGATGAAATACTGAGTAGTAAGGAATTATAAGCCAAATAAAATAAAAATATCTGCCTTGAAGATAAGGATAGTGCTGACAGATCAACTTCCAATTCATTGCGCCCCCCCCCCCGCCCCCCCCCCCCCCCGCGCCGCGCAACGTGAAATTGATAAACAGATTTCGGATTCTATTTGATATAATCGAAAGTTAAAGCTTAATTTTATAAAATTGCTCTAACAGTCTGCAAAAAATAATAAGCCGGATCCAATTTGAAGATTAAGGAACAACGCAATCTGCAACAGTAACTGAATTAGATAATTTTAGCTTAGCTTATACCGTCTGTTATACATTAAACGCACATGCATAAAATTTTTATGCGCACACATCTTCGCAGCCGTAAAGGTCTTACGTGCACACGTAAACGCCTACGCGCAGAAAGTTTGTAGCTTTGAGGTCTGGATTATGGGTGTCCGAATTAGCGACTTTTGACTGTATTACTTTAATTTATACATTAGATCAAGAAAACTTTTTTTTATAGAATATTAAAATTTTGAAATAGTACACAACATTAAAAAAAGTTGCTACTCAGTTGATAACGAAATGGAAAAAAAAATGTACATAAATTTAAAGTAAATATAAAATATGATTTTCTAGGCTTTACTCTAAACTAAGATATTAGGCAAATAAAATGTTTTAAGCTTGTTTTTCAAATCTGTATTATAATATATTTTGCACAGCATTATTTTCTTTTCTTCCCAGGTTAGCTGTAAGACGTGACAGGAGTAAGTAATGTATTTTGTGTATATATCTATAAAATAATTGAATATATCTGTATTTTCATTTTAAGTAGAATTACTTTAATACTGGTATCAATTATATGCAAGTTTATTATATTTTGTTGGAAAATTAAAGGCTAACTTTTTCCTAGCATGAAGATATGCATGTAATTTTCTGAATCGATTATTTCCTTCTTTATATGATTGTAATTCTTTGAAATTCACGTATATTCCCATTTAAGTATTAATTTAATCAAAAGTAAGATCCCCCCTTTTTTTTTTTGTTGTATTTTTGTTTTAAAATTTGGTATAATCAGGTATTTTGATAAATTAAACTGCAGATATAGGAGGAGTTTAATTATTACTATATGCAATAATTATACTGTTTAAATACTAAATAAATGACACAAATAATTACTATGTACATCAACTATGCAATTATCACTAATTATAATAGCCATGTCTAGCTGAGCGATTTTAGTTTAGGCCTTTATGTACTATACTAGTCACTGATGTGCCTGGAAACAAATAAGTAACAATATATCACTAAAAGTGATTAAATCATAAAATAATACTTTCAAGGAAATTCTGAAGAGAGCTGAAAGGCTGTCTTTCTCAGAATTGTTACAAAACAAAAAGAGAAAAATATATTAAAATTTATCCTTTAATGTAAGGAGGATCTTCTTTTCAAGTGTAATAATTATGGTTTGATGGGTTACATTGTTATTAAATGGAAATAATACAAAAAGTGTGGTAATAAATATGACATGATGACAAGACTTGGAAGTGCCACCTGGGTGACTGCAATTTAAAGAAAAGTAAGAATCTGAATTTCCTCCTTTTTATACATGTGCAGCTTTAGTCTGCACATCTTGGTGGCAACTTTTACTTTTTTATTGTCTTTGGAGCAGTATTCGGTAGTGGATTGTTGTAAATTAACTTATAACTGTGCATGAACTTGTGTGAATCTTAAGGATACACAGCACTAATCAACCACATATTTGCACTTAATGTGATAAACACGCTTCAGTAATGAAGTCTAGTCCAGTGGCAGTGATATGTTGAAACTATCTTGATAACCTCATCTTCATAGGGAATGAGAAATGGAACCCAAGTAAATATGTATTTTAAATAAAATTATCTGCCTATGTCTCAGTCAAAATTTGATTGGTTAGTTTAAATAAGGTAAAGGATGTTAGTGGGATCTGCAGAAGAGAGTTCTTCATGGAGGACTTTATAATGGAATTTAACCACTTGCACTACGACTAAACTTCACGGTTGCTGTGCCGTGCTCAACAATATAACAAGTAATAAAGAGTCTCATTTACGCTGCTCAGCATCTGCGAGTGCAATCCAGAGCTGTAACTCGAGAAATAAACAGCAGTCCAGAGCTGTAACTTGAGAAATAAACAATCTCGTTGTTAGGCGACTTGTGCACCATGTTATTTTCATTTTTTCGATAAATGCCTATCGACCTGGTGTTCACATCGCTCGCGGTTTGAGAAGCATCTCGACGTGCGTGGCACGTCTTTTTAGCGCAATTGGTTAAGCATGTAAGCAAAAATCATAGAAATGCCCATGCAATTAAGTTTGCCAGAACAACTTTGAACCCATTTCAAACTGTTAGTATTCAGTGGTTTTAACCACTTAGCCACAGGCAGGTTTCAACAAACTGTGATCCACCTTTTGAAAGCAAAGGGCAGATTTTTATTTAACGAGATTTGTGCATAACTCTACAGTAACCACTCTGGCTAGGAACTTGCATCACTTTGGACTGTGCAGTTTGCAAATTATGGCATGCTGGTATCTAATTCCTGCATGAAGGTGCAGAATAACTTGTGCCTAGAAATCCAGCTATTAGGTTACAAAAATATGCATTATCTGCTAAGATCCCAGATCTTGCATTAATAAACTGCTACCTTTTCATATCACTAAGTGATGTTTTCATGAAACAGGCCTGTATCAAAAAATGTAAGGTAAATAAGCAACTGTTAGACCTCTTTTGCTTTTAAACTAGGTGAGGTGTACAGAGATGTGATCTCAAATCTGCATGAATGTTGACAGATCATGCCTCTTTTCTCCAGTTACAGCTTATGTTTGTAAAAAAAAAAAAAATGTATTTCTCCTAAAATGTGTAGAACTTTTTGAGCAATCTAATAAATAAGTTAAAATTGATTTTTTTAATTGAGTTATTTTTTCAAACTGTATTTAGAAGTATTTCTCTAAGTATTTTTTAAGTAAATGAGATACTTGCATAGTTATTGCTTTTTATTCGCATCTTCTTACTTATTATGTTAGATATCTCCTGCATGTCTTTAAGAGTGAGATTGTATTGTAAAACTTTGTAACTTAAAATTTTCGCCTGTCTTGTGCCTGTATCAAAATAGAAATTTTAGCTTCAGTTTTCCACTAGAAGACTGGAAGTGTACAGAGTGATGCATGATCATTATTAGACCTCACTTATGCAGCTTTTGTCCCTCTTACTTTGGATTTTATTTCAGTCAAAAAGAGATGCGTAGGCATTAAATATACAAATGATTTTATAATTTTTTATCATTTTAGTTATAGCTACCATCTATATGAAAACGCACCTCTCCATTTACAACTTGGATGCTGTGTTGAGAAATTACATTTTTAGTCAGTAAAATCGGTGAGTATTTTCTAATGAAATGAATGAAGAATTTTTTCTTTAAATTTAATATTTAGCAATGCACCTAGAACACATTTCTGTCCACGTTGCTTAAGAAAATTCAGACACCACTTAGTGCCAAATCTTAGCATTGATGAAAAATCTAACTACATAGCTTAAACCCTAATGATCATCAAACATAAAGCATCATGAAAAGAATAACTATTTTATATATAATGTTTAAAGTATGGAATACCAAGGCTGTGTGCAGAAATAAATTTGTGTAATTCTCTGCTTTTTGTTGTAAGCAAAAACAGATCCCTGTGTACATGGCGAGGATATTCTCCCCATGTGCACAGTAATTTATTTTCACTCAAAAATGCATCAAAGATTTGCATGAATTCTGCATTATTTCTATTATCATTGCTCAACTCCTCGTGATATAAATACGCTACCACATAAAGTGCATTGGCTCTTATTTGGCAACTTACATCCACTTAGCAGAAAAGTACAGAAAATTCTATATTAAAATAGCTTAATTATATTATACTTGTAATGTTTATTATATTTGTAAGAAAAAAGTTCAGTCCAGAAATAAAATGACAGGTTTATGTATGAGTAGCATAAAAATCGTAACATTAGAAAAAAAACCTTTATCACCTTTATCTTGGATGGTATTTGGTGCCTGGCAGCTGTGAAGATCTGTTCACATTCAATACGTAGAGACCTCAGTCTAACTAAATGACCCACTGAATTCTAAACAAGCAGAACTAGCTGTTTCATACTTAAACTCCTGCTAGTCACGATCTAGTTCAGTTTGTGTTTGTGTGTATAAAATTTACTACATATAATTCCATTCAACATAATGTAACTTTCTCATTAGAATGTTGTTTTCTGCTTATTCATTGAAATGAAAATTAATTCTAAAAATAAACAGTGATACCAAATTGCATCAGAAAAATTGTTTCGGGACACTTGTTGCCATATTTGCTTTGTGGCGATCTAAAGGTGGTGTAATTACGCATTTAAAAGTTCATTCCAGAAATCTAGAAGGTAAATTAATAGTATTCAGTTTCTTATAGTTTTTTTTTTTTTTTTTTTTTTTTTTTTTTTTTTTTTTTTCATTGGCAAGGCAGAAAGAGAGGGTTCTGGCAAAGAAGGTTTCACTTCTTTCAGATCCACTTCAACTGATGAAGATATGTCCAGGGCTTAAAATTTTCTGAGTGGGTCGTAGCACCTCTAACTAGAATTTCTTTTCAGCCATTATTTTCTTTTCATTTTCAACTGGATTTGAGAGAAGCCACTTATCTTATCTTCAGCCAGTGCCAGCCAATGTAGTCCCTCCCACCATTTGGATTCTATTAATTTGTTGACAGAACATCCTATTGGATCAAGCATCTTATGTACAACACATAGCAAATTCCATCTCGTCACTGGAAGATCTCCTAATCCTATATTTGGAACGTGTTAATAATGAAGATCTTACTGTTTATCCCATAGTAGTCCTATTATTTTTAAATGCTCAGATTCATTATATACCCCTTTTATTTCTGTTTTCTGCCATCCTCTTAAATCAAAATGCACATTTGCCATGATCTAAGTTGCCTGTTGAATGAAAAAACTTCCATCTTCAGAATCTACTCAAGTCACACAACTGTCAACATAAAAGGAAGCTTTCATTGATACTTTTGAGAGGTGGCTGATACTGCTTCAGATGCGAGTCAGTCCCAGCCCCTAAAAGATAAGGACTGCAGTTTAGCCCAAATATCATACAGCAGTGGCAAAATTCTTTTGTCCCTGACTGTTGAGCATCCCTCCACCAAAGAAACCTTAGAAAATTTGTCATCTTGACCCACAGAAATTTGTAAAAAAGCTTTCCTTATATCTGAAATAATGCCTATCGTCTTCTCTCTAAATTTTTAAGCAGTATTGCTGGAAGCAACTCTAGAACATTTGACCTTTTTGCTAAGCAGTTATTTAGGAAGGAAAATGTTTTCTTTTCTTTCTTTAGGAAGGAAAATGTTTTCTTTCTTTCTTTAAATACCAGTGAAACCGATATCAAAGAATTTTCATTCAAAATTGGTCGATGTGTGTGGAAGCTAGTGTATTTTCCCCTCTGCTTTATTACTCGGCACTTCTTTGACCACTCTTGATTGTAACCAATCTTGGATCATTGCATTATAGTCTTCATATTTTTCTTTCAATTTCTAATTTGCATTGTTTATCTTGACCATAACTATCAGCTGAGTAGTATCTATACTGCAACAAGACCAGATGACAAGTGGAAAACATTCACAGTGTAAAGACTTCCAGCATAGTCAAATTCCAATTAAAATTTCTATAGGTAGGGAGTCTCTTCCTACATCAGTAAGACTGATGCCTTTATCTAGTAATTCAATCATCCAGGGTCCACCCTGAGCACTAGAAATGTGCCCACAAATAACTTGCTGGTCAAAACTTAGATTTCACAAGAGTAATTCTTCTTTAAATTACTCACCAATACTTTATAGCAGTTATATTGCCTCCTTGAGGTAATACACTCCAACACAATATGTGTTAAATTTTCACATCGTTGAGCAATAACCCATATTTGTTTTGTGGTAGATTTATGAATATATGATCTCTGTGATCCCGTGTCAAATAAAGCTGTTACAGTTCTTCTTTTTCCATTTTCTTCAATGAGCACAAAGTTTATAGAAGACCTGTTTGGTTTTGGTTAGATGTTAAAATTTCATCAATGTGAGAAGTCTCTGAATTAATTTTCTTATCATTATTAGGCTATTCATGTCGTACAATAGTCCAGTGTTTCTTTTCACAAAATATACTTCGAGCATTTGCCTTACACGTTTTTGAACAATATCCGATTTTCAACCATACAAAATAGGCTTTTTTTCCTTTGAATATCCTTTTTTCTTCTCAAAATACATTTTTTTAACCTTTAAAACAGTCTTGAAAATAGGGTGTTTTGCCAAAAATACACAAGCAGGTTTCATAAATTCAGTACCTGATACTAGAAGATTTGCTGCTAAAACGGAAATTTCATCTTTTATGTACTTTTGATTTAATGCCAGCTTTGGATAAAGAAATTTGATCCTCACCTTCAACTTCTGCTTGAAGAAACAGTAGTAACTGGGATAGCTTATCACCATAAGTGTATTTTTCTTTATTGATCACAGGATTATGTAACCAAACCTATAATAAATTTTTTAGAATGCATGATTCCACCAATGGGAATAATGTGGCAGCATTCTTGTCAGTAGTTACGCCAATCGACCAAAGACCTCCGATGTGACTCCAATCATTCTTGTCAGTAGTTACGCCAATCGACCAAAGACCTCCGATGTGACTCCAATCTAACAGTTGCATGACTTTAATCTGTTTTCATGTTCACAGCATTTTTTATGACCAATGATAGCAGTTCACGGACGTAATACTCAATAAGTAGCTCTTTGCCACCAAACCTTGTTTTTAGGCTATTTTATCAAGACTTTAGTACAAATGCAAGATTAAGAAGAATTAATTAATTAAGATTAATCAAGATTAATGCAAGAACTGTATCTATTTCTTCTCACTATTCTTCAATGTTTCTCATATCCAACTCCAGAATCATCAGATTTGGCATCAATTAAAGTAGTACAAATTTTATCATCCAATTCAGCCAAATCTGCAGCAATTCGCTCTAAAGAAGAAAATTTAATTTCAATTTCCTCGTATTTTGAATCTGGTCCATTTAAGGATGCTATTAATGAATTGTAGCACTTCATGACCGTTGCTCTAACAGGTGTTCTGCTTTTAATATTTCCATATTAATTTTGAATCAATAAAGTCAATATTAGCAAATTCACTGACCTTTATCTTTAAACATCATGTCCATAAATCACCACATTGTTGAGAATGGATAGAATACGAATCTACTTTCTCCTTAGAATTTTATTGCGTGCTTATTCTTTGAAACCAAAATTAATTCTAAACATAAACAATGATGCCAAATTGCATCAAAATTATTTTCGTTACACCTGTTGCAAGATTTGCTTTGTGGCTACCTAAAGAGGAGTAATAATTATGCGACAACGGTAATAAAAATAGAAAGTAACTCACCAATTTGACAACGCTGCTCTAATAAGCTTCTCCTCCCCAGCTAAATATCTTATAGCAGGGAATTATGTTAGTCATCACTTAGCCATGGCCATTTACAGATGAATTATAATTTGGAGCCCTAAATGAAGATAGCAAAGCCTTTAATTTTAACTGAAAATATTTTGTGTGTAATAACTTTTTAGGACTTCAAAGTGCTATTACTTTCATTTAATTTCATTCTGAGTTCATTTTATTTATTTAATATTAAAGCAAATAATAAAATAAACTTTAAGTATAATTGGCATGAAAATGATATGAAATTTGTAATCCAAGCTCTATGTTTGATATTTACTTAATGCTCTTTGATTTGTATCTGAGTACTATTTTTGAAAAGAATTGGACTGCAAACTGAGAGATAATAAATGATGATGATAATAAAGTATTGTGTGTAAACTATATTTTTTTATTATATTTAAAAAGGAACTATAAAATATTTTTATTAGTTTCTCTTAATTCAATGAATTAGCTCTTCTAAGTTACTATTAAAACTGAATAAAAATAATGATGAGGATAATAAAGTATTGTTTGTAAACTATATTTTTTTATTATATTAAAAAAGGAACTATAAAATATTTTTATTAGTTTCTCTTAATTCATTGAATTAGCTCTTCTAAGTTACTATTAAAACTGAATAAAAATAAATAAGTAAATCAAAGACTGCCCTAGTTTCCTAGTTTCACTATAATGTTTTTTTACTCTCTATTGGGTATTTATTGTTTATCAATTGCTGTACGTGTATATCTTTTTTTAATCGGAACACTTTATTTATTTTTTTTTTTAATTAATGTTTGAAAATTTAATTTTGTGAAGATAGTCACCCTACATAGTTGATTGGAGCTGAGTGATTTATAAATCTCTCAACATTACGCTTTTTTCCACAAAGT